GACAACTACTATCCTTACCAGAAGGGAGTGGACCCTACTTGTGGGATAAACAGTGGTGTCTGCTTGGTCTAGATGGCTGATAGCTCTTAGGGAGAATGACCCCTGATCTATTCTTGATGACCTCCAAGTGTATAGTCATTCACAAGCAGCTAAGTCTGGCATATATTTGGGGGAGACAACTTGGGAGAAATCCTTCTGTTTCCCATAGAGGATCAATTCTTTCCTGTCCTATAGGGTTACTATGAGTCAGTGTTGACTTGATGGCATTGAGTTTGGTTTGGTTTATAAAGTCACTGGAGTGGGAATTGACTCTCTGAGCGAAGCAGCAGCAGTTCTCTCCTGAAAGCAGGTCTAAAGTACTTGACACAAAGTTGTGCCATCTTGCTTCTTAGGTGAATTCTGGCTACATTTCTTCCAAGGCAGACTTGTTTGTTCTTCCATGTTTTTGAACTGGCAGTGTAGCAGGTCACAAGATTCCGAAGTCTTGGACATGGCAGGAGTATTAGAGCTATTCTGAAACTAACAGAGCAGGACTCACATACTCAGAGCAGGAGCCCAGAGGTGATGTCAGCAGCAGAGCCTCAGCTCAGTGTCCAGGAAGGCTGTTAGTACTGTGGGATTACCGGTGCTGGCTTAAGAATTTGTTTTCTTTTCTTTTACTCTGTCTTCTACTTTCACTTCTCTTTTTATTTTATGTTTTTGACTTTGTAAACTACTAGAGCAGAGTCTTAGGGCACAAGTAAATCTGCATAATCCTCTGGTGTCTAGAAAAGTCTCTACCCACTTCCCCATCCCACTGCACTATCGCACACCTGTCCTGCATCCTAATAGTGAAGACAGAGCCGGCGTTAGATACTGGTGCCTGAAAAAGAGAAAGCAGCTACTGGCTCCAGCCTGGGTATTTTTTGGTTTGTTTTAATTTTTGTATTTTCATTTGTTTGGCTTGTCTGCTTTGCCTGTTTTTGTGTTTTTTTGCTGTGTTGTAGACTTGTATTTGCCTTAAAACAAAGAAACAAACAAATAAAAAAGCATTCCATTATTGATTCACTCAATGGAAACAACTAATTTCAAACAACCTAGCCACCTCCATGCCTCCATACACCTGATGGAAAAGAACCACCACTTATTTTAGAACTACCTGATCAACAAATAAGCACTTCTCAAACACCATACAATCGCGACATCACAGAAATGACAATTGCAGCTCATAAGAAGAAATAAAGAAGCAATACAGCAAGCAAGTAACCGATATAAAAAGCCAAAAGACTTTCCCGAGGAAGGTAAAGAATTGGAACGATCAGAAAAGGAATTTGGAAGAATGATTCTTAGGTACTTTCAAGAGATGGAGAAAAGGAGTAAGAAAGGTACAAAAAACTAGGAAAAACTATAGAACACAAGAAAGCACAACAATCTGAAAAA